CTGCTTGAAGAAACTTACCTGAGTCTTTGCCTCCCTTAACGCAAATGCCAAAGCCGTGATCCACTTGCTGATCGCGCGACATGGAAACAGTGCGCGTGGTAAGTTCATGTATGTTGGGCACACTGCGATCCCGATCTCGTTCACGATCCCGATAGATCTGCCAAAGAGTTGGGATTACCACATGGAATATCTTTGAGAAGAGAGCCAGCTCACCTGATGCGTTGTCGAGGGCGGACTGCTGGCCGGGCTGCGTCGCCCGGTGCGATCCCGATCCCGGGTGCCGCCGTTGCTATAGTGATAGCTACTCGTAGGAACTGAAGACGACTGCGTGGCACCGAACATGCGCAGCACCTGCTCCGGGGAAATGGGCCGCTTCTTGTTGCCATTGCCCATGGCCGAGGCCGAGTGGCGACCGCTCGCCGCCGTCGATGTGGGCAGCGTGCCGGCGGTGCCGGCGGCCATGTGGCTCGAGGGCGAGGAGCTGAGATACGCTGAGCCGCGACCCGGCAGCGAGCCGCCCTTGGTCGGCACACCAGCCGAATTGTAGTAGTAGTGCGGCGAATGGGGACGCTCAATGATCGTGTAGGATGTGCCCGGCGGCGAATAGTAGAGGCCGGAGCGACCACCACTGCCGCCTCCGGCACCGCCGCCGGCACGCAGCGAACTGGTGCTGTTGCCCACACGGGAGCCAGCGCCGGGGCCGGGGCCGTAATGGGCCGCGTGTCCGGCGCTGCCTGGCGGCGGACTGATCATGCCAAAGGCCAGACCAATGTCCTCCGCCTCGTAACTGTTTGGCTGCGCTGCGCTGCTCCGCAAATGATGAGCGCTGAGGCCCGATGAGCCGCCCGTCGGCACGCTCGATGATGATTGTGTGGCGCCCGGTACACCAATGCCGCCAATTCCAAGGCCGGATGCGTTTGCTGCTTGTGTTGCATGATATCCATAGGCGCGTGCACTCCAACGTGATGGTCCAAGATCGCATAATTCGGCATAGTCATTGCCAGCTGCGCTCATTGTCAGGGGGTCGCCGTCGTATGGTATACCACTACCCCCAAGGCGCATTACACTGTTGGGGTGCTGGTGCTGCAATGTGAATATGGAATATGGCAATGTGTGCCCCTGGTTAGTTCATAGTCAAACAACTGAAAATAGGCTATCCAATATGTGAGCATAAGCCTGCCCTTCCCCCACCCCCCGTCTCTCCTCTCTCTCTTTTAACACTATTTCTCCCAGGAACTTTTGTTTGCATTCGCAATCGTTAAGCCGCAGCTCAGCCACGCGCTAGCTGCGGCTCCCATTACAAACAATGGCTTAATCTCTAGAGTCATATGTTTTCACACACACACATTCATATGGCCCATTTGTTGGTTGCTTTCCTTTGTTTGCTCGCATACGCCGCGTATGCGATTTTTGTTTCGAAATCAATAGCAGAACCTACAAACCCGGCTGCATTATTCATGTGCATATGCCAAAGTTGGGACAAGTTCTACCCCACTCGCTCATCCTTAGTGTCTCTGGCACACACACATTTGGCCCCCCTCTTGACAGCGGAAGGGAAAGCTCATTAATTCGTCGACGAAAATTGCGCTGTTCACTTCGGCTCTCACTTAGTCCAACATTCGCATGTGGAAATTGGGCTAAATCCGCTTAAAGTGTGTGCTTATAGAGTTATTTTTGAATGCAAATTACAGGGTATGCAGTTTGCGCCGTGTAAACTCACATAAATGAAATAAT